ACATAACTGTGCATGTATCAGTGTCAAAAGAAAAAAAAAGCGCATAGAAAGGTAAATGTCACCTGAGGGTGAGGAAAGAAGGAAAAACTGAAGGGTTGGTTTTGAAGTTTTAAATTACTAATCCCTTCAGTCCAAGAAACTGTGATTATGACTGAAAATCCTCTTAAACTTTGTTGGTAGGGTTACGTACATGTTTTGGGGAAAAGAATTGCTTGTAGTGAAGTTTGTGAATGTCCAAAGATATTTTTCTGTAATAAATTGATACCTAAAGACAGCTTAGAGAATGCTGTAGTCTGACTGCCCCTTCAGTATCAGGTGGTTAATAGTATCTTTGGGTAATAATTAAAAGCCCAGTTGTATTTAAAAATGAGCCCTCAGTTACAGTGCTGCATTGACTTGGAAAGGGATGAATGTTTCATGTGGATGTCATGATAAGACTTGATGTGAGTGAAGAGCAGGAAAACAGGAGGTTCCATAAGTTCAGCTTAAACAGAAGACTATACACCTGTAAACCTTTTGACTGTGGATGGGTATTTCCTGTAGAGAATATAAAGAAACCTGATTTAAGCTATGGTTGAAACATTTGAAAGAGTAAAGAGGAACTATTTTGGCTTTTATTCCAGAACATTCTTATAACTAGGGCTGCCTTTATTTCTGTCTCCTGTAGGTGAACAGCAGTACATTCTTACTGATATGTATTCTCCTTTCAGGTTAAACAGTTGTTCTGACATCTTTTCCAGTTCTTGTCTTTATGCAGCAGTCAAGCATGTGTGTTTTCAGCCTTGCATGTGAAACTAGCTGCGTGAATCAGCAGCTGGGTGGGATTTTGACGAGCACACTCCGGAAAAAGCATTGAGTGTGACCGTCTACTTTTGCTTATGTAAGAACAGTGTGATCACATGTCCACAGCAAAAATGTATGCAGTTCCTTATTTGGTAATGAATTAATAACTTTCATCTTGTTGGAGTATAATGACAATTAAAAACAATACAGTGTAGCTGAATCACCTTTCCAAGTGAATTTACTTGGTTTTGCAGTTGGCCTCTTCATCAAGACTGATAAAATAGCTTTCTTTTTCTACTGGGGGGGAGGAACCATCAAATAGAGTGTGGATAGGGATTGTGCAGGCATCTTCAATCTACCCTTCACCCTCTTACATGTGATCCGTAACTGTGATCGGTGTCATGTTTATTCATATTTTTCTCTCAGCTGTTCTGTTTGCTGATAGTTTCTCAATTGTTTCAGAAAACAAGGAGGAAAAAATAACTTGCAGGCATGACTTCTCTGTTCCTTAATTATGGAACATGACTGAAGTAGTGATAGAATTCTAGATGAACGTATCGGTCTTCAGTTTAAACCTGTTGAGCATCCTCACCAGTAGGAAAATATTTCTGTAATGTATTATGTTCCATTAGTGAATGTTCCAAACTGGCAGTGTGTTGGGGCTGGTTTTATTTTTTTTTTAAATAGAATGATTCCAAATGCTTAGTGATAGGCTGAGAACCATTGGAAAGAAAGACTTCGGGTTCAGAGCAGGTCATATCTGAGTTGTGCAAGTGCCAGCTTCCCAGAGATTTTTAGCAAGAGCTAAACTGTAAGGACTGTCTTTATTCTACAGGTGCCCTGAATGCTCTGCTGCTGCTTTGCTGAGACAGCAGGTTGTTAATTATATTGTTTGGGGAAAGAAACCCCTTAAGGGTTCCTTTGTTGTGAATGAAGGGGTTGCTACCATTGTTAAGGTAAACACTGGTAAATTGTTAAGAGGTGGCACCCTCCCTTATCTACAGGTGAAAGGCTAAAAGAGGAGCTGTTGTATGCTACTTCCACTGAAATATTATATTAACAGCCTGCCTATCTTAATGTTTCCTGGGTGATAAGGGAACTGTGGTAACTAATTTTATGTAGGGTATTGAAATAAATGCAATTTAAAATGCCTTTAATTTTTTTTTTCCATTCCAATTTCTTGAAGGAAAGTCAGCAAGGGTTATTGTGGAAACTAACACTATTTTTCCATTGTCCTTTTCCTGTTAATCAGTACATACCACTACTATTAGGTCACAGAAGTTCTCCTACATCAGGATTCATTTGGTGGAAGAGCTGGTAGGGAGCCAACCCTAGTTCCCATGGTCTGAGCTGATTGGCCTTCTGTCCAGTCTCAGCTGGCCCAGAGCAAACATTACTTTGGTTTGTGCCAGCTGGCTCTTGTCTGTGGGATGGAGAATGTAGGACTGCAGTAGTGTATGAGTTTGCTATTCTGTCTCTGTGCTTTTAGGGGAGATTTTAGCCCCTTCTGTGCTTCAGGAGTGGGGCTGAATCCAGTGAATGGTATGTTGAATTAAGCTTCACTTTTACTGAAAACAGGAATATTAGAAACATCTTTATATGTGTTACTAAGTGCTTCTTCTAAAAAAGTCTGTTTATTGTAAGCAGCACCCCTCTCTGTCACTTAGTTGGAAAATAGTACAGGTATATTTAATATTTATTGCTTATTTTCCAAGGTTTGTGTAATAAACAAATCTGTAGGTAGGACAATGAGGGCAGAGGTGTACATGTCCTTTTTATGTACTTGTTTTATAGGAACAGGTGGAGAGGTGGTAGCAGAGGAGGCAACATGGTTGTAAGTGGTACCGTGGATTGTAATTTCAGGTCAGTTTTAAGTAACATGCCTGTAGTGTATGTACATTAAAAAAACCCAACAAACCAAACACCCCAACAAAATACCACCCACCCCCCCAAAAAAAAAAACCAAACAAACCCCAAACCAAAAAATCTCACAACTGAAAAAAAACTTCAAACTGAAAAAGCAAAGCAAAAAGCTCCCACCAACCGTCCAGGCAGTTGTTGTGTTTTTTTTTTTTTTTTTTTTTACATATACAAAACAATACTCCAGTTTTATGGCAAGGAAGCAAATACTCAAATACTTCCCGTCTAAGATGTTGGGTGGAGAAGACCTATAGCACTTGGCTGAGCCCATACATTTGGACAGCACCTGTGTGTCTCTGAGGTTGACTACATAGTGCCAGTGCTCACATTTTAAGCTTCTGTGTTAGAAAGTGTTCATTCTGTCCAACGTGGAAGTGGCTCAATTACATTACATTGAAGTTTTAATGAATCTAAAGGTGCTCATCTTGAGATCTCTGAACTGGTTGTCCATTAAGTGGTTTGTTTAGCCCACTAATTTGCATTTGAAAGTGGCCATAAGTAGATGCTTCAGGGAAGGTTAGAACAAAGGAAGCACATAGTTGTCTTTTCCCCCTTCCTAGGCTTCCAGATGTTTGTAGCTCAGGGACCTGGCTTCTCTGTCGAGAAACAGTGAATCTCTTCTATACTATTTCAGTGTTCCACTGAAACTGTTCTTGAGTTTTGAGTGTCCTTTAGCAGGTAATTCTCTCACTTGTAGACCTTCTTAATTTTGTTGTTGAAACTGGCTTCCGCTAGTTTCACATGGTGGCTCTGCCTTAGATGGGAGTAGACCATGAACAGTTCATGCCTCCTCCTCCTTTCTCCATCATTTGTAGACCTTGTAGACCTTTGCGACTTCTATCTTTACAGACTGAAGAGCTCAGGCCTCCTCAGTTGTTTCTCATGTGGGAGCATTTGCATAGCTTTGATCATTTTTTATGGTCCTTTTATGAACATGTTAAAAAAAACACCCTACATATACTTGGTTTTGGGGAGTTGAAGCTAACAGAACTGTACCAGGTTATGTTGCAGATGTACTGTGCTGTTCCTATGATATTATAATGTTTTCTGTTTTGTTCTCAGTTCCTTACCTACTACTTCCTGGCACTTCTATGGCTTCTTTTGCTGGCTACCAAGCAATCTTGTTTGCTTTTTCACACTGATCAAAATCAGCAATTTTTTTACCTTTTATAAACAATATCTACTTTGTTATGTGGTATACTGTTGGTGGTGAGAACACAGTGTAACTTGGAAGCCTGGGGCATACGTATAAAGCATATATATAACCAATAAAATACTCCTGTGTGACAATATTTAAAACATACTCAGGGTCTGAGAATCTGAAAGATGTGCATTGTATGTTGTACAGCAGTATGTTGTTTCTTAAAACAATTACTGGAAAGGCTATAAAACTTAATACATTCAAATAAAAAGCAACTAGTGTTGGTGGGAAACTGAACGATTACAAAGCCTCAAGCTGTTCATAATATTAAATATCTTTACTTGTTACACAACCAACATGGGAAGGTTGGCGACAAAGAGTCAGAAACCTGACTGGTACAGTGTGATAAATATCTGAGTAAGTCCAATTCTTTATTTGCATATGGGTTGTTTCAGGACAGAATTCCTTGAGTCCTTGATAAATTTGTGAGTGTGACGGCAGTCAGAGCCAAAAGTAGTTAGGACAGAAATCCAGATTTATATGTCAAATTGAAAGGAGGAGCTTTGACTCCTCTGTTTTTCTGATTTCTTTGCCCCAAGCTGGTATCTTAATAGTAAATTGCACAAAACTCATCAAAATAGAATGATTTCTTAGAGGAGAAGGAACTTCAGCTTCCTTATGAATTCAATTTTACTTTCTTTTTTTTTTTTTTTGGTAGTAACAGTGAGAAGATACTTCTTACCAGCACAGTACACCTCTTCATATAGAGGTTTACAAAAGTGTGTGGCAGCAGTGTTGTTTACTACTTGAAGTTTGTGATAGTGTGGTAAATAGGCGTAGTCAGTAATATGAGGGAACCTGTTAAATGTTTTGCATGATTGGCATTTTTCCTGGTTGACCAGTCAACATGTTTTGATGAAGAGTCCTTTACAGAAATTGACGTGGGTGGGAACTGGACACTGAATCTGAGTAAGGAATAGAAAAATACTTGTGGAATCTGTGTATTCTTTCAGAAGAGGGAAGCCTTAATCTGTAGAAGAAAATACTTTGTGTCTGTGTTGCTTTGTGTGACCATACTTAAGATATTCCCTTTTTATTTTTTCCCCCAAGTGCAGTCTGGTACTTGACTGAAGTAGTTAATCACACTATGAAATAAGGGGGAGTTAGTTGCATTGTCATTGACATGTTACATCATAACTGAGTCCTAAGAACTTTGCCTGCTTGCAAGAACATGTTCATTCCATCTCAGCAGTGGAAAGTTAAATCTGGAAAATTCTTCCAAGTGTATTTTTTTTTTCTTCCACTACAGTAGCAATTATGACTTAGTAGACAAGAATTGGGTATGAGAAAGCAATTCTTTGTTAATGACATATTAGTTTGCTATGTGGTGATAAGGGATCAGTGTGTATGTGTTGTTAGTGTCCTTGTGTTTTTGAAGATAGTTGTGACTGTTTGATATAATATTACTTGATAGTTAGATTTATTTTTTCTTTTTCTAGCATTGTCTGTATCAGAAATACTCAATTTCTGAACAGAAGAGCCCAACCCTGTAACTTAATATATAATAATAGTAAGTTTTAATGTGAAAATATGATGGGCATTTTCAGTTGTGCATAATGTTCCTAATTTTTCATCTGTTGTTACAGAAGTAACAAGAAAAAGAAAATGGATAAAAAAAATTGCTAGTGCCTGCTGTCTTGTCATATATTTTTCCAAATAAAATTGGAGGCTGCATGAATCACAGGCTTAAAAATTCATTTTGAAAGTTCAGAAGTGGTAATATTATATCTCTGGGTCACAGCAGTATGCATTTTGAGAGGTAACACTTGAACTTGAGCTATAAATTCATGTCAGCTCTGGAATGTGTATTTAAAGTCGGCTTTTGCACAAAAGACCTTAAAAACATGTCCTTCGGCTTGCTGACAGAAGCATAGCTTCATGAAATTCCAGGAATATAATCAACATTATTTTGAAGCAGAACCACTACTATCAATATATTTTGTTGATGCTAGGACTGGTATTACTTAAATAAAATGAATTTAATTCTCTTAAATAACTTTGTATCATGCAGTTTCATTTAATATGTCTTCCTGAACCAAAAATAATCAGACCAGTTCTTTCCAGACAATGCTATTGACTTTTTAAATATGGAAAGTGTAGTAGGTATGGGTCCTAGGAAATACTGTTTCACAGTGACTTGGATATCTCTCTAATAGAAGGCAGATATTTTTGTAAAGCATGACTATACCTGTCCCACTGTATGTCTTCCTTTTTAATCTGGGAGGAAATCAGAAGCCAGAAAGTCTTTTTAATGCAAGCTTCTGTTGTCAGTGAATTGCATTAAATTGCACTGTTGCATATGCCTTAGGAAAGAAATTATGGTTTATATAATGCATTAACTAGTGAGTGCTTCAGGGTGCATTTCAAATTGCATCTCTTACAAGTAGAGTGTTGCCAAGGCACGATGTATGCAAAATGAAAATATAAAATTATTGTGGGGTTACTCAAGAATGCTCCTTAACAAAGTTAATGTCACTGTCTATTGTAACTATAATTCCATTATTATTTTTAAGTTTTTGTGGTATTTCACTTTCTTATATGATTATTTATATGTAAAATCAGCCCTAGATTCATTGTCTACAATGAACTTCTTACTTCCATCACAGTAGCAGCATGTTTCTCCAGAGAACGTGTACAAACTTGATAAATTTGGGTAGTTACTTGGGTATGAAGTGTGTGACTCAGTGAAGCTTTTTTTTTTTTTTAAGGGCTGTTGAATGATTAGAAAGGATTCTTAGACTCTGCAGATCTCACTTCTCACTTTGTTAGCTCTAAAAAAGCATTTCAACCATTTGTTGCTTTTGTTGTAAACTCTAGGATTTAGTTCTATGTATGAAACTAGTTGCTGAATACTTCTGTAGTGAAATTAATGAATGGGGTTTGCTTGTGCAAGGTCTTATTCACAAAGTATAAACGTAGCTCATTTAACAACTATATACAGGTGAAGATGGTGGGGAGAAAAGTCATTGTCAAATTCATTTTCTGTGGGAAAATAATGGATGGTCTTATAGTAAATTTTGTATATGGATGTGCTTTCTTCAAATTATTGTAGGGAGAGTGTAAATTTATTCCATTCATCAATGCGGGTTGGCAAATATTATGATACTTAATTGTGGAAGAGCTTTTCTGGGGAGGGATTTGGCTCCTCTGCCTTGACATTTATGTGCACATGTGTATTTATAGTTGTGATCTGTCTGGAATTTGCCTTTGTGGTTTTGTTTGCTCTTTAACGTGTTCAGTGATCTAGTCCTGTCTTTTTCAGTTTTGATTTGGAGGCTTAATAGTTGAGGAAAGCATAAGAAATGGCTTAATTTGTAGGAAATAGTCAACATTTTTATTCAATCTCATATATTTCAGGAAATAACAGTACTGTCCCGCTTTGAAGCTTTTCCTTTGAAAAAAAAACATACTGGTGTTTATTTATGATTAATCTAGAATTTCAGTTCAGTGTAGCTGTTACTGTGAATGTTTCCTTAATTGCAGTTCTTATGAATGCTTCTTTAAAGAGAGCAATGAATTCAGAGTTAATGCTACTCTTCTAAGACCTGGAAGTGGTACGACCTTGCTCCCACTGTTCTGCTAAAGTTATGATGTGTATCACTTGTCCATATGTATGCGAGTTGAAGTACAGTTGTTCAGAGTGAATAGTTGGAAAGATATCTTAAAGCCACAGTTATTTCACTGAAATAGTAACTCAAGTGAAATGCCGAATGTGAGTAGACAAACTCAGTCTTGGAAGTAAAGGTGAACTATCAAAGGAACAAGTTATGGCTTCCTAGCGTATATTTCATAAACATTTCTAAATTAAAAAAGGAATTCTTGTATTCGAAAAGTGAAATGTTACTTTCTCGGTTTTGAATCAAAGAAAATGGAAAATCCTCTAGATAAAAGTAGGCTTAAGTTAGGCAAGTTCTGTACCCTTTCAAAATTCTATTAATTCTTTAGTAAATTGTCTACTTGGCTTTTTAGTAATTTGTTATAGTTGAAGACACTTTTTTTTTTTCCAGGTGACTTCAAAAAGCTTAAACTGAAATTCCCATTTTATGTATTTGGATTTTAATTTTGACTGTAACAAATAACATCAGTGTAAGGAAGCGTGGAACAAATACAGTCTGCTAACTTTCTCAGTGCATAAGAAGAGTACCACGACAGTATTCTGAAGTAGGTAGGGGACGCTTGGTTGGCATTTAAGCAGAAAATAAAAATCTTATTCAGACATATTGGAAGCGGAATCTTTTCAGTCTGTGAGAGTTTAAGTGCTTCAAATTCTAGGTGTTTGTGGTAACATATAGGGAAGACAGGACTATAGCAGTAAAAGTAAAGGGGTTTTGGTGGTGGTGGTAGTGGGCTTGTTTTCCTAAGCTGTTTTGGTTTCTGTTTCTGTGCTTACTTGAAGGGTCTGCAATGCCAGAAGTCCTTGTTGTGGAGAGTACATGAAGGATTTTCCTTCTTTTCTTTTCCTGTGAAGAGGAATGTGAGATAAAAGGACAAAATGGACAAAAAAGATTTGCGGAGATTAGATATTTAGATTTCTCAAAATCCACAGCTGTGATTCATTGTCTGTCCTTGAAATTGCTCTAATACTCAGAAGATTGGAAGGTGTAAAAACTTATCACAGTTACTGAATGGATTTCAGTGTCTTAAGATGTCATGGTATGACTGGATGTACCCAAATGGTAATTAGTGCCATCATTAGATGTTCATCTTGTGCATGCGAGTCTTGTAATAATAATAATTTTTAAAAGTGTTCACTACTTCTAAGGGAGATAGAGTCTCCTATTACAGATTGGTTAAAGAACTTAATAAGCATGTAAGAGGAACTGCAGCCTACATGTATTTCCAAAAGTTCTCTGATTATGTGAGAAAAGGTTTCAGCATGGAAAAAAAGAAGGAACATGTTTTCTGGAAAGCCGTGCTCCAGTTATCCTGTCAGCTCCTAGGAGATGTGAAATTCTAGACTGTAAATTCATTCTGACGTGAAGATCCCCTTCAGAGTGGAAAAGTAGAAGTAATGAAGTCATTGCTGTACATCTTGCTCAAAATCCTAACTTCATTTTGGGAGAATGAGTTATCTAATTAGGGGTATAACTTGGCACTGATGCCAGAATAGCATGTTCCTCTCTGTAGGGAGAGAAAGGATGCCTGAGCAGTTACTCACTGTGATTGATTGTCAGAATGTCCCAGTGCAATATTTTTTTGTTACCAGAATTTGTAAGTTTTGACATTCAAGGAAAACAAACTTGATTTAAGAAGAAATCCTGACCATTGTGTCTTTTAATGAAAAAGGGAGTGCTAAGCTTTGCTAATTGCAGCTCCTTCAGTATCCTTTTGATACTTAAAAGGAGACATCAGTGTTTAATATGATATTCTCAATTGGGAAAATTTCTTATGCCTTGTTTCTATTAAACTACTGTATGCACCCTCTGCCATTTCCATTGACCAGAGGTTTTTAAAAAACATGACAAACACAATCCTGGAACTAGTCTGAGTTACTGCTGTTCTGAAAATTCCATTATATGACAACATGGTGACCTAAATGAGGTCCTTCTCAGACACTTGCTGGTGGGAGTACTTCAGGTGATTTAAGTTATAATCCCACTAGATGTTGCTCAAACCATACTATGGGAGCATAGATGAGCATAACTCCTTTCTCTGCTAGTTTTGCAAGAGAATTTAAGGCTGCTCTAAATCTTATAATATCAATAGCGATGATGTTTGCTTCCTGTTGTAGTTCAGAGTATGATAACTGCTGGGTTTGGATAGTGATTTGTCCTATTTGCAACCATTTCCTGAGCCTAGTAAGGTTAAAACTGCCCACTAACACATGTAAGTAAAGTAGCTTCCTAGGGAGTGGTACATAAAACCAGCTGAAGCCTGGTTTTAATTCAGGCTGTTGCACCTACTGCTTTTCAAAACTCCAGAGCGGTGAAAATGCTGAATTTCGGATGCTAGTCTATGAGAATTCATCTGATCTACTAATTATAAATTAACAAAAGCAGCCCTTTCAAAAGAAAGATAAAACTAAAAGGGTGATTAGTAAAAGACTTAACTTTATTCCATGTGGATCTGAGCAACAACTTCCTCCTTTAGCGGTAAGGGTTCGTTCTGTAACCTTGTATCTCTCAGTGTTCCAGAAATGCAAGTAAGTCCCGAGAGATTTGTTGGCAAGTGCAGCCTATTCCCTCTTTCAGTACCCTTTGGCCTTCATATATTTCAAATAATAACTACAGATATGCAAAAGTTCTTGCTTTCTCAAATACTGTGATGTAATCTCATCTTTATTCTGCCTTCATTAAAAAAAAATAATATAAATTAAGCAGTTCCTGGATACATTGAAGAAATCTAGTCAATTCTATTGCAGAAATAGAAAAGGATAGGATCTAAGGAATAGAGGAGGTTGACACTGTCAGCCCCCTTTTAAGTTAGAGCAGATTGTGCAAAGCAAATTACAGTGTTCCTGGAATCAGAAGGATGGTGTTCACTTGAGTTTGATGGTCCCTTGGCTGCTATATGCTGGCTTAAACTTTTTTATCATTAAAAGGCAGGCAGTTGAACTTAATTGTCTTAACACAAGTAACTTCATAATTGAACCTTGAAATGTCCGTGCAGGTAACTTCTAGATATGACCAAAATGGTGCATTTTAATACTTTGTTCCAGGGAGGGGTGTTTCTACAGTCTCGTCAGTCTTGAAGTTTATTGCCATCCTGACAAGTAGTGATAATTTCTTGACCTATAACTCTTAAAGAAGATCCAAAAGAAGTCTTGCAGGCTGAAGCTTCCATACCATTCTCTCTGCACTATGTATTGTAAAACAGATGCATAGAAACTAGGTATTTTTCTGTTGCTGACATCCAATTAGATGAAAGTTATCTGCTTGATGTATTGTCATACTTGTATAATAGTCTTGATGCTACTTCTTGTGTAGGAGGAGGTCAGGGCCTGCTACAGTTGAGTGGCTTGAGTTGTGGTAAACCGAATGGTGTTTTCTTCTCAGATTTGATTTCTTACTGCTTAATTGTATATGGCTGCAGTCAGCTGTAGTGGAGGGTGGCTTAATTTTATTTTTAAAGAAATTAAGTCATGCTTTCTGAAGCTTTGTAGTTATCTTTGGTGCAAAATACTCTGTAGCCTTTGCTGGAAAGTGTACAAATCCATGTTGATATGTTTAGAAAACAGTTACATGTACAGCTGTCTCTATAGAAACAGTGAAGTAAAATGCTATAATTAATTTATATGGGCTATGGTATTACTGTTGGGGGAATTGCCTTCAGAGCAGACTGGATTCAGGCCTAGTGATGCAAGGCACTATCACACAAACCTTTAAACTTTCTAGTTGTTTGAGAAGGGAGGAAATAGAAGTTCAGCATTTTCTCTGTGTCTGTGTGTGTGCATGCATGCGCATGCGTATGTGTGAGAGGGAGTGAAAGCTATGCTGACTGTTCAGCTGGGGCAGTCGGGGAAATGACGTCCTGTATTATTTGTTGTTCTAGAAAGAGCAGAGACATGTACTGTAGATGGGAGGGCTCTAAAGAGGGCTGTGTCTTGTCCAGTGTGTATAAGTATTTATACATGAGCAAAGGGGGAAGGAATGAAATACAGAGAAGCTGTTTAGTGTTTCTTTAATGTATTAGAGAGTGTTGATTTATAACAGTTCTGTTTGTTTCGATTCCAAATTTGATTTTTGTTTTCTCCTTCTCTAGCATCTCTTCGTTGCTAAGACACTGGACACTGTTTTTTCCATAGCAAGGAAAATCTGAATTTCTCCAACACTCAAGATGGGGAAAGATTATTATTCTATCCTGGGAATTGAAAAGGGAGCTTCTGAAGAGGATATCAAAAAGGCTTACAGAAAACAAGCCCTTAAATGGCATCCAGATAAGAACAAGTCTCCTCATGCAGAGGAAAAATTCAAAGAGATTGCAGAAGCTTATGAAGTGCTGAGTGATCCCAAAAAGAGAGACATTTATGATCAGTTTGGGGAGGAAGGTATGTATGTGTCTGTTATACTCTGGTCAGTCACTTTCATTATGTTAAATGAAGCAAAATGTGTTGATTTTTAGGCAATGCATTTGAACTGCTTGGAACTTTGACTCGTTAGCTTTTTAAATGTAAAATGGATTCAGAGTTTTAGTGCTGATACAGTTTTATTTTTTAATGTTTTTTCTTTTTTTAAGTCCCAAATACTTGACAGACAAAAAAAGTTAATGAATTGAAAAAGTTTGTATGATGCACCAGTAGCTTTCTGGGATCACTTACTGCTCTCTTCCCTTGCCATAGCACTTTCTGAGGTGCAGTTGAAAGAGATACGTTAATTTCTTAAATTTTTGCTAAAGGGTAATCTGCTTGATCTAGGTAGGGTAGTCCTGAGCAGAAGCCCAGGTGTCCAGTCCGTAGCTGTCCCTGGCTTCTTGCCTGGAGAGGAAAGAATTTGGCTTATGTCATGAAATACCAGAACAATTTTTTAGCTTTAATTGTAAACAGTGGTAACATGCCAAGAGACTGAGGCCTCAGAAATGTCATATTTATCCTAAAATGGGTATCTGGAGAGGATGACTTTTTTTGGTTTTTTTTGGTTCTTTTTTGTTTTGACTTACGTGACTTTCAGTCTTACGATTGAGCAACAGAGGAAGTCATTAACATCTCTCTCCTTAAATGTATGGAATCAGAAACTCCACATGAAATAATTACTTCTATTGTGCCAAGTCTGTCCCCTTGCTCCTTGGCATTTGCTCAGGGCCATGTTTGTTAATATAAAGGAGGACACTTAAATAGCAGTACTTCGGGGAAAATTATGGGTTCTTACGAATACATAATAATTTGGTCCTCTGTCATCCAGAGGTTTTATTAACATCCATAAATTCATGTAGAAGACCTTCAGTTTTTACAGTTTCTACAGAAGATGTGTAGAGAAGATGGGATTTTTTGTTTTTTGTTCCAGTGCATGGGTTCAAAGCTTTAGTGCTGTTATTAAAACATCCTAGGAAAAAAGCATTTATGTAGATACCAGAGGTCTTACTGTTGCTTCTCGAGTCTTTTGCCGCCTTGCACTTCTTCCTTCTCACCCCCTGCCTCTTTTCAGTGTATCATCATATACCTGTTTACTCATCATATACCTGTTTACTCATTTGCATAATAAGTGCAGCAGCTCATCCTATCTACTTTCCTAAAATAGCACTTTAGGCACTTTCACCAAAGAGCTTGAAGTAAAGCATATAAAGCAGTGCAGCCTTTGGCATTCTAGTGTTGCATACTTGAAAACAGAGGTTCAAAATGTAGATTTCTGTTTATTTGGGACATAATATTAAACTGAAGTATGAATTTTTGAGTGGTGAATCTGGAAATACCTGCTGAGCCTCAGTTGCTCTCTGAGCTCTTCAATTTCAGTGTAACTGGAAGTTGTGAGGGAAAGGCAGTGGGTAGTGTGGGAGGAAGGAGGAAACATCAGTGTTTTTACAGCTGGGAACTTGATGTGCCTTCAGTAACTTTCAGCTAGCTATTCCAGGAAGTGTCCTTCTACTATCACATTGAATCCACTGATGTGCTTGTTTTACATTAACTGTACTGTGACAGAAGAATGTACTATATGTTGCTAAGTACTTTTAATATTACCTGGTGTTGAGATGGGGAAAGTTTCTCATCCTAATGTCTTGGTTGCTGTTGTTAACCACTATTGAGCTTAAGCACAGAAGGTCCAAAACAGCCGAAAAAAACCAAACCAAACCCCTTTTTCAAGTTTAGGGAATGTATGCCTCACTAGTGTAAGTGTTCAGATTTTTATGGCTATGGAAGCAGGATAGCAGCTGTATTACTGAGCTGTGTAAGACTGGAAAAAAAAAAAATCAACAAACCAAGCCAGACAAACATTGTAAGTTTAGAAATAAAAGTATCTATGATGAAGGGCTGAAAGTCTTCTTAATAAAGGTTTGAGAAAGTATCCTGAAATGGTCAGTGCCGGAGAACACTATTAGGAGGAAATGCTTGGAAAACACCTGTTGGGAAAGAGGCATTTAGGAAAAATAACTTTTAGCTGGGTTTGGAATGAGAGAGCAGGAAATGCAAAGGACTGTCCAGTAAGAATTGTGAGGGAAATCATTATTTGGAAGAAATGAAATGTAGATCTCTCCTTTTAGAAGATAGAAGAGAAAGAACAAAGCTATTTGAGAACATTGATTGTTTTGCACAGAGACAGTGACAGTATGTGCAAGATTTCTGTACCCAAATGGGTCTTAGGAACTTCAAGCTATTGTGATTTGTGGCTGCACTGAAAAAAGTTCCCATGTTTCTTACCTATTTTATATCATAGGAGCACAAGCAGTGGTAAGTTTAGGATGGTGAACTGAACATTATGAGACATATGGCTGCTTTACTATTGGCATGTTTTCACTCAAACTGAAAGGAAAAGAGGTAAAGCTGATTAACACAGAGCTAAAGCTGAGCTGCAGAGATATATTGCATATGATACTGCATAATTTTCCCCAGAAGTGATCTCGAAGAGGGATTCAACTTAGATTTTGCAGAACAAGAAAAGATCAAGTCTTCTGTTTTAAGATGCTAATTCTTTGAATAACTGGCTTCAATCATATGGAAAAAAAGTTTAGGTTTGCGATACTTGTTCTTCTGAAGTAGGGGTCATTCTAGAGCTTCAGACTTTGTTGCTGTTCAAGCTTTTGAGTTACTAGTTGGTACTGCATAGTCTATTGTTGAGTCCTCATTGAAAAGGAAACCTTTTACTCTACTGCAAAGACCTTTTGACTCATCAGTTCCAGTATCATTACACTCAACAATAGGAAAACTTATGCTCATATTAGATTTGGTTTTAACTTTGCTTATTTGCCTTAGGTTTGAAAGGAGGAGCTGGAGGATCTGATGGACAGGGTGGTACCTTCCGGTACTCCTTCCATGGTGACCCACATGCAACATTTGCAGCTTTCTTTGGTGGCACAAATCCTTTTGAGATCTTCTTTGGAAGGAGGATGCCTGGTGGCAGAGACACTGAAGACATGGAGGTGGATGGTGATCCATTTGGTTCCTTCACTAGTTTTAGTATGAATGGTTTTCCAAGGGAAAGAAATACAGTTGGTAGTCAGTTACGTCGTAAACAAGATCCCCCTGTAATCCATGAACTCAAAGTGTCATTGGAAGAGATCTATCACGGCTGCACAAAAAGGATGAGGATTTCACGTAAAAGGCTTAACCCAGATGGTAGAAGTGTCCGAACAGAGGACAAAATTCTTACTATTGAGATAAAAAGAGGATGGAAAGAAGGTACCAAAATCACTTTTCCAAAAGAAGGTGATGAAACACCTAACACGATTCCAGCTGATATTGTTTTTATCATTAAAGATAAACCGCACTCTCACTTCAAGAGAGATGGATCAAATATTATCTATCCTGTTAAGATCAGCTTAAGGGAGGTAAGTTTTTCTTTTGGTAGAACTCTAAATATTTAAACCTGTTACAGTATGATACAATGGCTACCCTGTGCAGCAGCAGTAAACTTCTGGTGGGTTTGTGGGTTTTCTTGCTTTGGGTTTTTTAATAGTTTCACTCTAGTAATGTCACTGTGGCTACAGAGCACAGTTATTTATAGTGGAAGCAGTAACTTTTGATAAAAAAATCTGAAATAACAAACAAATAAAATTAACAAGTACATCTAATATAGCATGCTCTTTACTGCTGTGATATGGTTGCTACTTCTGTATGACAAAGTAGAAATGTCTTAAATACTTTCACTGCCAACAAATTCTAAGTTTGCCTTTTTATGTCATAAGTTATTTCAGTGTGATTTCAGAGTACATGGAGATTGATTTCATGAGGATAAAGTATTGTGAACAGGTGTTATAGGAGCTATATATAACAACAAAAAATGGTATAGTTTTTTCTATATTCTGTTCCAAGTCAAAACACATTGGCTTTTAAAAGGAAAAATCAGGAATACAACTGAGCAGAGTTCTTAACAACAAGCCCTGATACATTCACTGTTTAAAAGATATTGTAGCTAAGTGTGTGTAATGTGTTTTTATTTCTTAATTAGCATTAGGTGGAGAAATAAACTCCTGTTTGCATTATAAACTCTTTGTGTACATGATGAGCTCCCTTAAATGATTCTTAACTAAATCACATTTGAAGTGAGTTGAGGCACCTAAAAAAGATGGAGAAAACACAGTGTTTAATGTTGATGTGGATAATATAGTACCTTCATAGATAAAAGCCTATTTAGACTTACTGTATTATGTAAATTGGACATTATCAGTATAGACTAATTGTGCTGAATCAGGTGATGTTGGAGGAATTGGAATGTTACCAGATCCTAGAAATGAAAGCAAGCTATTGGAAAAAGCAGGAGGTCTGTAATGTTTTAATTTTGATGCACTAAAATAGTTGTTTGCTTTTCTTTGAGCATTGCAAATGCTCTCTTAAGACAGCTGTGAAATTCAATGCCTCTGCTTACAGACACTTGTTCTGCAATGCTATATAGTATAGGTTGATAGTCTATTAGAGTAAAACTCCTGTACAATGCAAACACAAGAAATGGAATGGGACTCTTTCCAGTGGAAACTGAGAAGCTGGACATCTGTAGAGTTAAGAGTTCACTGTATCTCAACTACTTTCTTACTTGATAATATCTTTGAAGGGTATATAAGCCCATTACCAATCAGTGGCCATTGCATAAGATTAGTAATTCAGTGGCAAATTGAAGCTTTCCATTTTTGAGAGGAGCACTGTGTTTGAATCTTGACATCTCAGTAGTGTACAGTGGAAATACTGTTTACAATGCTAGTCTTTGCTAAATAAGTTAAATTCAGTTGTAGTTACAGATAAAGTTCTGACCATTTTTTTTTTTTGTCATGATCCAATTTTTCTTTAGGCTTTGTGTGGCAGCTCCATCAATGTGCCAACGATAGAAGGAAGAACCATACCTATGACAGTAAATGAAGTTGTAAAGCCTGGGATGAGAAGAAGAATTATAGGATATGGTTTGCCATTTCCCAAAAATCCTGACCAACGTGGAGACTTAATTATAGAGTTTGAAGTCATCTTCCCAGATAACATTTCTCCAGCATCAAAAGAAGTACTTAGGCGAAATCTTCCAGTTTCATAAAATGAAGACTGCATATGTCAACAGTTTAAATAGGACACTGGAAATGCTGAGGACTGGCAAGTCTGTGCTTTAAAAGTGCAATCTGTAACAACTAGTGGAATATTTGTTTTTTTTGTTTGTTTTGTGGGATGGGGGGGGGAAGTACTGTAACGCTGCATGACAAGTAAAGGGTTAAGTGCAAGTCATACAGGTGATTTCTGCAGTAAAATTTACAGGGAAAACCATTCATTTATTTTTACATCTTCCTAACCAGAAAAGTCTATTCATTATTTTGCCTAATGTGAAATGTAGTCGGTTTTTACAAAGTCAGCACATCTTTCTGATACAATACTTGAGCCTCCAAGTATTTCTTATATCCCTACATTATCTAGAACATTACCCATTTATACAGAAATTGGAGATAGTAATAAATAAATATTTTAAAGAGCAAAACATGAAAAAATACCGTTTTTGTATGTTGCCTTCCACTGCACAAAGCATAGGCTGGGAAAATCAGCTTGGACTCCTGAACCACCCCCAGTGGAATTAAATCATTTTCCTTACTGCCCCAGAATGTGTGAGATATTACAAGTCTAGCAAAGGGCATGTGGCTGAAGGACCAGGAGTAGCCGTTAGCTATGGATAGTTCCTCAGCCTTCGGGCAGAACATCAAGAAGAGATTCTGCAAGTACATAAACAGCAAATGGTAGGCCTGCTGTCAAGTGGGGTAGGGAAGATGTGGTACTTGGTGCCTTCTTTGCATTAGTCTCTACCAGTAAAACAAGCCTTTGTGGTTGCCAGGCCCCTGAGACTAGAGGGGAAGTCTGGAACATTGGTGTGGTAGGACCAGAATAGGGTGCATTTAAACTGAAAGTCTATGAGCCTGACAGGTTGCATCGCTAACTGTTGAGGAAGATGGCCAATGCCATTGCAAGGCCACTCTTAATTATCCGTGAATGGTCATGGAGATTGGGATATCTTCCAGTAGACTGGAAAAGAAAAAAAATATTACTCCTATCTTCAAGAAAAACAAGAAGGAAGATTTGGGGAGCTACAGGCTAATCAGTTTCACCTTAATCATTGGGAAGGTAATGGAGAAATCCTCTTGGAAAGCATTTCCAAAGACATGAAGGACAAGAAGGTGATCAGGAGTAGTCAGCATAGATTTACAAAGGGGAAATCATGTTTGACCAACCTTATTGCCTTTGACAGAGACAGCTAGCTTTGTGGATGATGGGAGAACAGTCCATGTTGTTTACCTTTGACTTTAGTAGAGAGACTGATAACATACAGGTTTAACAGTGCAAGTGTAAAGTGAGGAAGACTAAGTACTGGCCAAATGAGTGAGCACAGGGGGGTTTTAATTAGTGGCACAAAGTCCATTTGGAGGTAAGTCAGTAATGGTTGTACCCTGTGACTTAATACTGGGGTCAATACTGTTCCAACACCTTCATTAATGACAGAGATTGTGGGATGGAGTGCATCCCTCAGCAAGTTTGCAAACCATATAAAATTGGAAAGAGTGGCTGGTAATACCAGATGATGTACTGCCTTTCAAAGCGACCTCATTGGGCTGGAGAACTGGACAGAGGATTCTCACAAAGTTCAACATGGGGGATTGCAAAGTCTTGCTCCCTGAGGAACAACCCAAAGCACTAGTACAACCTAGGAGCTGACTGGCTGGAAAGCAGCTTTGCTGAGAAAGACCTTGGGGTCCTGGTGGACAACCAGCTGACTCTGAGCCAGCAATGCGCCCTTATGGCAATAAAGGCCAGAGCTTTGGTAGCAGGCTGAGGGAGATAATCCTTCCTTTACTCTTGGCACTGATGAGGACGCATCTGGAGTGCTGTGTCCGGTTCTGGGCTCCCCAGTACAAAAAAGATAGAAACTTACTGGAGCAAGTCTAGCACAAGGCTGTGTATGAGAGACTGGGAAAGCTGGAGCTCTTCAGCTTGAGAAAGAAAAGACTTGGGGGAGATCTTACCACTGCATATAAATACATAATGGGAGGCAGTGAAGATGGAGGAGCTAGGCTCTTCTCAGAAGATCTCAGTAACAGGACTGAGAGGCAGTGGACTTGAGTTAAAACACCGATTCCATCTGAAACACAAAGAAACAGTTTTTTATGTGAGGGTGGTCAAATACTAGAACAAGTTGACCAGAAAGGTTGAGGAGTCACCATCCCTGGAGATACTCAAAACCTGACTGGACATGATCCTGGGCAGCCTGCTGTAGCTGACCATGCTTGAGCAGGGGTCTCAGACTACATGATCACAAGAGGTTCCTTCTAACCTAAATGATTCTATGGACTTGGACTTAGCACTTGGTAATAGTGCTATAGGCCATTCTGCAAACCAGGCTTAGCCCAAAGATGGATGGAAAGATGCACAAAGAACATTGTAAAAGCATTTAGCTAGTGCAGGTATTTAAAGATCATTCTGATCGCAAGTATATGTTGTTTTCAAAGGCTGAATTTTACTCCCATGAAGAAGGAAAAGCCCAGGTCCTAGCTAAAGGAGAGCTTGCTTACAACACAAAGTGGGGTGGGGATTGCCCATGAACTTTAATATGCTTGAATTGAGTCTTTTTTGAATACAGATAGGAGTTACTTGTCTTTAGAGTTAGAAGATGCATAGGGAAATGGAGAGCCTGCCATAATAGTCTAGTTTTATAATACAGTAATAGGGCTGGTTCCCTTGATTGCGGTATGATTTTGGTTGAAAGAAATGCTTCTTTGCGGGCATGCTTTATTACCTGAGTTTAAAATCATAATACAGTATTTTAACAACACATTCAAGGTTTGGGAGTTTTTTTGGTGGTGAGCTTTTTTCTTTTTTTTTTTTTTTTTTTTTCCTTCATAGGAAAATACGTAGGATTTGCTGTCAGCCTTTTCCCTGTGGAAATATAGTAGTTACCTGCTCTGTTAGGTAGCTTAAGAAATAGCAGCATTATATTCATATATGTGATTTTCTGCAGGAAAGTAAATCATATGAAAGTTGGGATTTAATTTTTACAATAACTTCAGTGAGCACAAGAATAATCCCATTCTGTTACTCGAAGGAATAGCACTTCTGGGAGATACTGTTCGAATCAATATTTCAGCTGCAGATCTCTTCATACAGTGTCAGCTAGCTGTAGTCTTACATCTATGAGGAACTAAATTGCTGGAGCAGTATCACAAAGGAAAAAAAAAAAATTGCTGCTTAGTGCTTATGCTTATTGTTAACACTATATATTGTTTGTTCAAAAAATTCCCATTTCAGTATGTTCTGTATTGCATTTCTTATGTGGTTTTTAAGTAAAAGATGTAAAGTTGTTTTTTAACTCTCTTTTGTTATGATGGCAGATGCTATAAGCTACACGACTTTAAAAGCATATCATCCTAAATTGCCTGTTTGTCAGTTTAAAAGCTAATGGAATTGAGCATTTTGTAATCCAGGGTCTTGTAACCGTAGTCAAACTTGTAAAAAAAAAAAAAAAGTTACAGCAACTAGGACTATTTTTTGTAACCATCTTCAGGTAAGAGGATTAGTATTAAATTGAGGAATTGCAGTATCTTGTGTATTTAGAGGTGTATATATATATGTATAGCAAACTAAACTTTTTCAACTGTTTTCATGCACAAAATACAGAACTATATGACTGGTATGAAATGGTTGTATTTCTTTTCTTTTGGAGAAGTAATGTTTCAGTATTGGACAGTATATGGAAAAGTGTATGTTTCAGAAAATAGCATGGGAGAATTAATATCTATCTAATCCAGGATTCACAAAAATCAGTATTTTTCTAATCAAAAAATGTGCTTAAAAACTATGTTTTAAACCTACTTGACTATTTAATAAAGGCTGCTTGGGAGAAGGAGGCAAATACTCAGTCACCTGCTGTATCTCTAACTACTGAAATACACGGAAATAAAATGGACATTCATAAAGTTGGGACGAGAAGGATATTTTGATCTCCTGAAAGCTTCTTAGGTGCCATAGACAGTAAAAATTACTGTGGAAGAGTTAATTCAACAAGTCTATGAAAAAGGTTCTTTAGAAGTAGAGGTTTTTAATTTCCCAGCATAAAACTTTAGAATAACCTCAAGCTGTTGGAAGAATAGAGCAAGCTACATTACAGCTGGTTTTCTTTTCTGCCATATAGCAATATGTGATTGCTCCAGAGCAGGCTTTCTGATGTCATGAGGCTATTAGTATTCCACTCTTACACTGAGCCTCTTTTGTATTGTTGATGCTGAAAACTTGTTGAAGCCCATTTGTTGAGTGTGAAATAGATGTGGCTTTAGGTTTGTGTGAGTCCCAACCTGTTTACTTTGTTATGAAATTGGTAGATTCTAACTGTTAGTATCTGTTCTAACCACCTTCATCCCATAACTTTGTGTGTAGTCATTTCTGTTTGCTTCTCATAGTGTGGAAGTTTTCTCTTCATTTGTGTGTCCTCTTCTGGTATGTTCCTTTTTTTCAATGTGACCTTCAGTCCAAACCTCACTAACAGTGCTGAAGATTAGCAATATGTATTATGATGATCAGTCAAATGAGATTATTGGTGTTCTAATTGTACCGTGAATACTAAAGAGTTAAAGCACCCTTTCTTCAAAGAAAAGGTCTATTGGCTTGTTTAGTTTTAAAGGCCTTGGCTGAGCTGTGCACACGTATCAGTGTGCCATGAAATTCTTGACATGGCATAGTTTTGCTTAGAGATTGGAGGAGACTGGTTTTCTTGACTGGATATTCTGCTATTAGTTGAGGATTATGTTTTTTTGGAGGGCCTGTTCCAGAATAAATCAGCAATCTGGAAGGGGAGTTATATTTGGCCAAGAATCGGTTCTGCTTCTTGGTAAGTGCCACTAGCCCTATGCTTGCATCAGCTAAACTTCCCCTATTAATGAGTCATGCTTTGTGTTTTGTTTTGCTTCTTTTTTTTTCCTTGAGACATACTGGGTGCAGCTGGCTGGCATTTAGTTTTTGTTGAGAGAAGAAAACAACAATGGTGTCTAAACCTTGTTTTCCTTGCCCTTTAGTTAAGGCTGTATGATCTGAGACATATTTACATCTTTTCCTATTCTTAGCCTGTAGTACTTGAATCTTTCCAAATTTAGTCCTGGAAAACCCCCAGATCTGCAAGCCCTTAAGATACTTACTGCCCCTCCTCAATGACTTCATCTCACTAATGTGATGAACAGTCTCACACAGCTCTCAGAATCACATTTTATCTGGGGTGCTACTTAGCTAAAGGAGTGAGTGAAGTCTGCAGCCTTTGTAAGGTCTTTGCTTTGTTCATAGACAATGATTTAAAAAAGTGCTAGGCTGGTTAATCGTAATGTCTCCCATCATGTCCTGACAGACTGCATTATTTCACTGCTTTAGTCACTTGTACCTTGATGACTACCTGTGTGTCTGGCTGACAGGATTCTCTAGCAGCAAGTACTTCATAGATTTGAGTACTATTTGAGATTTGAGAGAATGATGTACGTGACTGAATGGTATCTGTAGAATTGGATGGCAGAAAGAGTAGAATGCACAGAGGAAGGGAGAGACACTAAACTCAGATTATTGTGGAGAACAGAAGTACATTTGTGAAAGATCTGATCAGTCATGCATTTGAAAAACACTCCTGCCAGATCCAGAGCCACTTCCTCTGACTTCAGTATCAGTCCCATAGGAATCCACTTAGAGTTGTAGTGGTTATGGTAGTTCTGCTGACAGATTCTCCTGGCCCCCTTTATTAGTTTATATAGTCAGTGAAGCTTCTGAGAAGGTCTGGAGATCACTATCCAACTGTCAAACTAAATGCATGCCATTCCTTTCTACCATGTGCATTTTACATGCTAATCTGACTCACTGGTAACATGCTTTGAGGATTACCCTGAAGGTTTTACTCCACTAGTGAAATTTGCTATGATTCAGGGTAAAATTCTGTGCTTGAATTCATATGCTGGACCTAAAAAATACAGGGCATGGACATATTACTGTAACTATTAAGAGACAGTTCCTACAGAGCAAATCCTAAAGAGCCAGAGTATTCACTTAAGTCACTGCTTGGCATGCAAACTGCACAAACTGCAGTACTAGTTGCCTCATGAAGTACAGAATCTCAGCTCTTCACTTGTCAAATTGCTCAGCCATGGACTCTTACTAGATGGCATGATTTGTTTCCTTCAGGCTCCTCCAGTTAATCTGTTATTTAAAGAGTGAAAGTAGAGGTGTACTGTTGTTCCCCTTGGGTACTGAAGGTGTACTTGTTTTTGTTCCTCTGGAATTACTCGCTGACCCAAGGGAGGAGCTATATAACAACAGTCTTGTTAGTTATGCCTGATTGCTTTATCAAGGACAAATTATCATCTTCACCCTCCGGCTGCCCTATGTAATTAAAAAAAAATCCACATCCCTCACCCAGCCACTCCTGTAATACTATGTAGCATTTCCCTAAATAAGTACTTCATGGCATGGTCAAAAAAAGAGCCTCAACTGCTTGTATTTATATCCAAAGAAAGGCTGATTAACTGGATTCCATGAGAAGCAGCCCTTGCCAGAAAAGCTGTGGCCAAGTGTAATAAGGACCTAAAACCACTTCTGAGAATAATCGAGGAAAGACACATATTTTTGTTTTCCTAGTTGTTGTAGTTTAAGCTCAGCTGGTAACGCATAATCATGCAGCTGCTCGCTCACTTTCCCCCATTCTTCTTCCCCCTGTTCCTGGAAGAATGGGGAGGAGAACCAAAAGAATGTAAATCCCATGGGTTGAGGTAAGAACAGTCCAGTAACTAAGGTATAATACAAAACTACTACTGCTGCCACCAGTAGTAATAAGGGAAATAACAAGGAGAGAGAATATAAAACTAAAATGGGAAAATGAAAACAAATACGAGTGATGCACAATACAATTGCTCACCACCTGCTGACTGATACCCAGCCTCCAACCAAGCAGGGATATAGGGCCTTAAAGGTAACTACCCCCAGTGTCTATACTGGCCATGAGGTACTGTGGTATGGAATAGCCCTTTGGCTAGTTCAGGTCAGGTGTCCTGTCTCTGCTTCCTCTCAGCTTCTGATTTCCTTCTCACTGGCAGAGTGTGAGAGACTGAAAAAGTCATTGAAATGTAAGCATTACTTATCAACAACTAAAAACATTGGTGTTATCAGCATTTTCAGGCTAAAGTCAAAAACACAGCACTGCATCAGCTACTAAGAAGAAGAATAACTGCTACAGCTGAACGCAGGAGACTCATATACCAAGAAACTGATTTTATAAGTAATAAGAAGCAGGATAAAAAACCTGACATCCCTTTCTGTCCCTATAAAGTCACAATTCCAAAATAGAAGTCAGTTTTTGTTGGGGTGTTTTTGTTTGTTTGAGTATTTTTTTGTGTTTTTTTTTTTTCTTTCAGTACGTGGTTTATTTTTTTTCTTTCCCAAAAATCAGTGGATTTCCCAAGGCTAATAGTGTATTATTTACATTTTTTTATTTAAATGGATAACTCTCCAACAGTGTCACTTACAAAAAGTGACGTTTAAGTAATTTTTGGCTACTAACTCCTGAATTGCTGGAGGCTTACTTGGATAAATGATCTAGTTTTCATGTGTGTTAATTAACGTTGGCAGATATTTCCCTAGTTGTGTATACAATCAAGGAAGCCTGAAAGCAGGACTAGTGGAGAAATTGTCTTGTGTCCATTACAGGCATATGTGCAATGTTATCTTCCTCTTATTTGGTCAGCTATGTTGGTCTCGTAATTTTTTTCTTTCCATAGTTAAAAGCTGATGCTGTTGCTCTAAGCTGTCAGTGGGATCAGCATAATTCTTGTACTTCAGCTGTCTTCTTCCATGTGAAACACTGAAACATTAACATTTTCATTGAAGAAAGTTTTGTCAACGGATACCTAAATTAGGGTTATGTCAATGTCCATGAGTTTTTTAAATAAAAAAATATGCACAACCTCTCTGTGTCACTGTATGGAAGCTTCCTTGTTTTCATTTATATTAACTAAATTGTTAATTTAGTAATGTTAATCAGTAATGACTGTAAACACTATTTACTGTTTTTTAAACATTAATTCAGTTACCTTTTCAGAAGATAGAATCATAGAATCAGCCAGGTTGGAAAAGACCTTTAAGATCATCCACATAAGGAATTAGTTTATTCAATTATCTTTTCAGAAAATAAGGAATGGGTAGGCAGAGATCAAGATTAATAGAGACAAGACATAAAGACTTGTAGATGTCACCAGTTCCTTTGTAATGCCTCTTAGTAAGTGGTGAAAGGCATGTTTTAAAAGCATTTGCCCATTTAAAACTGCAAAACAGCAAAAACCCCTAAATACCTGAATGGATATGAACTGTTTGATACTGTTATTTGATCTCTCTCATTTAGTATCACTGCATTCTCATCCAATTTATGCCAGTCTGGTGTCTGAATGCTTTCCAATAATGGGGGAAAAGTACACACGGTTCTCCAAAGTTCAGGGAAAATCTTCAGTTTAGGTTTTCTGTTTTTTTATAACAGAACTGGAGAGTCAACTCTTCAAGTGCGATGCTAAGTTTATTCTGTGATTTCTTTTGTGTTTTTTTTTTATGTTTTCTTTTTATTGGTGGAAATGACTAGAAAATTAATAACCTTGAATCTAGTTGTCTTTGATCAGAATTGGGTAAAG